CGACCTGTGCTTCGTTGAGGTAACAACCCTTGCAACAGCATTGTCTTGGGTTTGAGGCTGTTGAGTGTTAGGTGTCTCGACTTGTTTCCCTTCGACTCGGACTGGGACAGTACCAGCGTCATCTTGGTGCCCTTCGCCAGCGTCACCTTGGTGCCCTTCGCCAGTGTCACCTTGGTTATCTTCGCCAGCGGCACCTTGGTTTTCTTCGCCAGCATTGCCATGGTCCCCTTCGTCACGATTCTCTTCTGACAGATCCACCACCTGAACCTCTTTTGGCTGTTGTTCTTCCGTTTGAGGATCTTCTATGGGTTTTTCTACCGTCTCAGCGTTGGCCTCATTTATTTCAGTATGGGCTTCGTCATTTTCCAAGCCTTTTTCTTGTGGCCTGCTGAGTTCAGCAGACTCCAGTGTTTCAGAAGTCCTTGGCGGTGAGCTTTCAGTGGTGTCCTGAGAAAGGAAAGAGGAAGAATTTTCAGAAATCGAAAGAGACATAGTCGAATGTAGGTATCTACACCTAAGTTACAAAAAAGGTCTAAGAGATTACCTGTAAATTAGCTTCAGCCCCAGGGCTGGAATTGTCGCTTTCGACAGGCTTATTGAGAAGAACGTTTAGTTCCTCCTCCGTTGGCTCCTCAATGATCACTGGAGGTGGCCTGGGCTTTCTCCCAGCAACCTTTATTCTAATTGTTCGACCCTCAGGAGCAGGAGCAGGAGCGTCCTTCGTCAGCTTTCGCCTCTTTAGAGGAGCAGGGGGAGAATCACCTTCTTCATCGCTCCCAGATTCGACCACCAGTGCTGGCCGCTTCTTGGGCGAAGGTGCCTAAAAACCAATGGGAATTCGATTTAGCAATTGCATCGAAAGTCAAAAATCGAAAGCCAGAAGAAAATAATGAAAGTCTGGTTACCGATACAGAAGGCTTCTTCGAAGGACCTTCCCCCTGTTGGTTGGTTGTGGTCTTCGCCGGCGCTGTAGTCTTCGCCGGCGGTGGAGGTTTTGTTGAGGGGCCTCCTCCCTGTTGGCTTTCTGCAGCCTTCTTGGCTACAGACTTTCGAACAACTGAAATCAAGTAAATAGTTAACAGGCTAGCAGTCGAAAGAGAAAGACAAAGTAATGTGAAAGGATGAACTTACATTTCTTTATTTTGTCCAACACAAGGACAAAAGATTTCTGAAGCTCATCCACGAAGTCCTTCTCGTCAAAAAACTCCTCAGCGTAATAACTTTTCCACCACTCCTCGAAGGATGGTGAGCAAAGAAAGTTGAGCTGGTAGTCAAACAACGAGAGAACTGTTCGACCAGCATATCTTCCGATATGTTTAGTGGCAGCTTCTTCGGTGTAATCATTGCAGAAGTACAACATAGACTTCTCTCTTGGAAAAATTGGAGAAGGTAGGGTTTGAATAATACCAAACTGGCGAGATACCAGGTTTGGTTGGTATGCAATCAGACTCAAGTGAGTCTTAGAGCTCCTGAATCGAAGAGGCATGATCCTTGGTGTGAGGAACGCCTCCCACAGTGTTGTATGTTCGTCAACTTGAGGACCACTCGACGTCCTTGGATGTGGCCTTGTGAACCATGCCGGGCCTACCTTCCGTCGAGCAAACGGAGCCATAGTCGAAACAAACTCTTTCCTTCGAGCAAACATCAGAACGAAGTTGGTGAAAGTTTGCTGAAGCTCCAGTCCATCTTCCATAGGCGTCAACAGAGCCAGTCTGGTTCCTTCGACGCGTCTGTTCGCTATCTCTGGAGCCTGCTCATTTATTTGAACCTTCTTAGGCAAGAAAGATTCGAAGGTGGCATTGAGCCACAGTTGGAGCAGCCAGAAAGGCCCAGCAAGTAGCAAACTGGCCCTGTTCTCGATAATTTTTAGAAGAGTTGCCCCATTACTAATCGAATCATAGAGGCTAGCCAAAATCAATTCTGCCAAACAGATATTTTGGCCATGATGGAGTTGAGTGGCAAGAGTGACCATCTTCTTGGTCACCTGTAAGGACTTCGAGCAAAATACAAAGCGAGTCAGCCATAAGGCTAGAAACGCTATGTGTTCGACATCCGACACAGCATCTGTCGACCTGTCGTGGTAGTGATTGATGAAGGTGGTATAGGTTGGTTTGGTGGCAGAGAATCCAATTTGATCCTCCGACATCTCCTCCGGATCGAAGTAGTCCCCGGTGGGTCGAAGGCCAGTGATAGCGGCCACATCGAAGAGTGTAGGAGTCAGCATCCCACAGGGAAGATGGAAAGTAAAGTGGGAGTAGTCCCAGAAAAGTAGAGAAGCTATCAACATCTCCGGAGAATAGTTCAAACCTGTCTTCGACAGCATCACCAGGTCGAAAATCCCCATATCTTTCCAGATCGAAGCTTGGCGTTTCTCCATCTTTTCCAGCCAAGCAACGTAATCAGGAGTAAGGCTAGGGCCAGACCTGAAAGCCCTAACACCTTTGTTGAAGAAACGAAGGTCGATTTTCTCTTTAGCAGGGTCTTCATTATCCTCTGCATCTTTCTTGGCGCATGCAACCGGTTTGAGTCTCTCAACTACCGGAAAATAACTCTTGATCTTCATGGCCTCAGCAATACTTGGATACAAGGGGCCAGACATAGCAAAGATCTGGTTGGAATATCCAACCGGGATCATAAGGTGGTGTGAGTAAGCATCACGTACGGCGATGTCCAAGGGTTCAGGGACCCTTCGTTGGCCCGTAGAAGTTACTACTGGAGCAGTGACGAAAACCTTAGGTCTGACGTTTCCAGATGGTACGGTAGCGCTAGGAGCACTGGAACCAGATGCCATTGTTAATGATGAGGTTGAAGACGAAGTGAAGGAGGAAAGGTTTTTGCAAAGATGACAAGTTTGTATGAAAATAGAGAAGTCTGAAAGCTAGATGGCGTAAAAAGTCCCACAATGGGGTACTTACTGCTATTTATAGTAGTGGGGGAAAATCCCCAAAACCGAGGACATTAAATGCCATTTAATGTTGTAGGAGATAGTGGGACACGTGGCATCCCCCTGTTGTTTTAGCCGTTCTGCAGAAATAGAGGGACGCAGCGTGCGTCCTCGTTTTTGGGAATTGTCATAATGACAAATTCTGAAATGACGTTTGGCACTGCACGCCGTACTGAAGTGACGTCTTAGGTACGAATAAATGATGGTTTTCTTGGGATTTCCAGTGGTTGGTAGAAGACAACAAAAAGTGCACAATTTAATTTGTGACTAAGCGTGAAAAGACAGGTGTCGAATGGCGTTTCAAAGAATGCCTTTTTCTTTCAGAGTCGAAATAAGGCATTCTTGGGGGGCAATTTGTTGGCTCCTAAATTCGACACCCTTGTTTTATTAATGTCAGCCATTAAAGCTGAAGGATGTTTTCGACTAACTAGGTCTGTCGAAATGCCCATCGAAAGATGGCAAGGTACTTGAAAGATTTCTTCCAAGGGAGAAGTTGGTTGCCTTCGACGTCGAGGGAGTTTCTCGTCGAAGATGCTTCTCGACGAAGGTGTTCGATGGTTCAGAGTGGAGCAGTTTGAAATTCAAGCGTTTGGAGGGAAAACGGTTTCCAGCGGTTACCAAGTGCGACGTGCGAAGATCTGGAGCGTCGAACGTTGAGAACGTGCCAAGTGGAATCATCTCGAAGCAGTGTAACTGCCCGACGGTTACTTGGGATGTTTTAGTATAAATAGTAGTAGTCATGTAGTTTCTCGCGTGTGTTCACAATTCTATACAAAGTCACTCATATAGATTCGAGTACCCAGCGTGTGAGAAATAATTGTTGAGAAATGTATGTGTGAAACACCAACTTTATTAATCAAAGTCGTTTACTTTCCCAGAAATTTATTTGCTTTCTTCTTTACTTTCCTGTCGAACCCTTTCATTTAAAGCCTTATTTATTTTACCAAGTCTTTTTTTCATGCAATTTATTTAAAGCCTCTTCATTTTATTGTCATTTAACTAATATCCAATTTAATCAAAACTTCAAAATCAACCTATGTCCTAGGATCAATCTGATCGATCCTGCGAGTAACCAAATAAGTAACCATTTGGAGGATCAGCGGTTGTTTACCAAATACCCAGGTAAACAACGTCATGACGCAAATAACAGAGTAAAAAATAAAAATACAGTGCGAGAAAGTGTGCGAAATTTCGGAGAAACAGACAAATTATTTATAAAACAGTATTTTGCCCTAGTTTTGCCCTAGGAGCCAAGTGAGATGGCGCCTCCTCTCACTTTTAAGGAGCATGCGCCATCTCACTTGGCTAAAAGTGAAGGGAGTTGCCAAGTGAGATGGCGCCTAGGACAAAAGTGGAGGAGGATGCGCCAATTGAGATGGCTTCTCCTTTAGAGAGTCATCTAAAACATGGTTATTTGCGTAATTTTTTTCGAAACTCGATTACTTGCAAAATATTATTTTAATACTTGAATATTGTAAAAAAAAAATCAAAAATAAAATGTAATATAAACTAAAAGCTTTAGCTACTTTGTACGGGACTATTAGAGTACGAGCCGGCGGCGATTGGGAGAATAAGCATGGCTATTAATATAAATACATTTTTTCTAATTCAAACATAATTATAAAACACTGGGAAATCAATTCACATTATTAATAGTAAAGCTAAATTAAAAAGAAATGATAATGCGGAATCGAAAAAGTGAGGCCACATTAATGAAAAATAAGTTCAAACTCACAATTGCAACACAAACTAAAAAAACTTTAATTTTACTCAGACAAGAAAATAATGAAAAAATAAATAGAAAAAATAGCAGGCTGTCGAAGGAGTACCGGCCCCATTATTACCTTGTTCTGAAAAATTCACTAGCCACCACCCAGCCGACATGTGGCCATAAAATAAGGAAAAAAGAAAAAGATTAAAAATAAAATAAATTCCACAAACTAAAACGCGTGAACTGCAATTCCTCGGTACATATTCCCTTTCCTTTATTTTTCTTAATAAAAGGCAAACAAATTTCACACGATGGTTATATAACAACAACACTTCACAACCAAAATTAAATGAGAGCATGGAATAGGTTACCGGCGGCGAGATCTGAAACAGAGGGAAGCGCTATCGATGGTGTGGCTGGAATCACGGCGGTTCGCGGATGAGGTTGTTGGTGGCGCGAGGATGGCGGCCTGTGGTTCCAAGCAGTGATGGCGTTCCGCGATTGAGAGTTGTGTGAGGCGGTGAGGACGATCGGAGATGGGGGCTGAGCGACTGTTGCAGTTTGATGACGGAGGTTGCTGCACAGTCCGAAGTCACCGGAGGTGTGACTCGATTGGAGCAAACACGACAGCTGGATCCGGACGGCGTAGGCCATCAATGGATGGTCGCCTCGCAGTGATTCGGTGGATCCAGGTTAGCGGATATCTGTCGACAATCTCCTTCCACTCTTCTTTTGTTCTGCTTTATGTTGTTTTCTAACCTGTAAGAAAAGCTTGAGAGAACAATACAAATATTGGGTATACACAATAAATCCTCTTCTGATTTTTTGTTTTGTTTTTATTTATAAATTCTTTTCTGCAAAATAAAACTTGAATACATGGTTATAAAAGTTCATGGTTTTGTTGAAGTGAAAACATTTGAGCTTGTTGGATTTACTTGTATGATTCTATTTGAAGTTTAGTTTTAAATTATTTATAAATTAGGTTAGACAAACTTAACAAGTAAGTTATACAAAGTGAATGAAAAGTCCAAGCTCGATTTCCAAAAATAAAAGAAAATTAGTAACAAAAAGAATTTCAGCAAAGCTCCACAACCTTATACTTGCAAGGTTTATTCTTTACCAATTGTGTTATGTTACTCATTTATAAATAAACTCAATTTGAAAGAATATGAAAGGTGTGCAGATATTTGCTATTTTTAAATATACAAATAATTTGAAATGAATCATTATATTTTTAAATAGGTTTGGAAGCGAATATTTATAAAAATCAAATAATATTATAAAAACAAAGTTTAAAATATTTTTAACTGGACTTGAGAATGACCATCTATAAAAATCAAATAATATTATAAAAATAAAGTTTAAAATATTTTTTACTGGACTTGAGAATGAACATATATAAAAATTAAATAATATTATAAAAATAATGTTTAAAATATTTTTGACTGTAGAAATAAAAGGACGTGCAAATTTGGGGTATGATAACATGTTAGAGATACGATAAAAATCATACTCCTAAAATATGTAGTACAAGTAAAAACAAAGGTGGATCAAGACTAAGTCTAGGAGATGAGATCATTACATCAACCAAGTCCTTCATGTCACCTTGAGACAAACTTTACACCAATCCAAAGTACCTTGAGTGCTCAAATGATCTCTTAGAGGTAGATTTAAAATGATTAAGTTTCATCAAGTACCAATTCAAACTTGATTGAACCAAGATGAATCATCAATCATCCAATTGATCCAAAAAGAAAAAGAAAAAGAAAGAGATGAAGCGAAAATAACAAGAAGGTAAATCCCAAATTGGATTAAAGCATGAATTAAGTCATCATCAATATCATTCATCTATTTTGATGGATTAGGGTTTTTACCCCATCAACACCCAAGATCCAATGAGATTGATGAAACTTATGATCAAACAAGCTTAGATCCAAGGTCAGCCAGTCAACAAAGTCAAACAACAATTAAAATGAATTAAAACAATTAAAATGCATGTAAAATATATTTTTAAATTGATTTTTAGATGGAAATATATGGAAAAATATCAAAGTCTAATCAAGACATCAAATAAAAATCAAGTGAGACCATAGAAAAATCACAAATAGTATATAATATTTTAATAAAAATTTTGGTAATTTTTGAAGACTTAAAAATAATTTTAAACTAATTAAAATCAATCTAACAAGTGAAAAATAACAAAAAAATAGAACAACACAATAAAATTTTGAAAAAATTACACAGTCAGAAACAATTCAAATGATTTTTGTGAATTTTTTTCAATATTTTTGGAATTAAAATGAAAGATTTATGAATTTTTAAAGTTTAAATTAATTTAAAACAAAAATAGTAAATAAAAAAAAGCTAAAAAATTCACAAGCGTTGGATCCATCTCATTTAATCCAGGTTGATGATCTGAAGGTCCAAAAGTGTGAAATACCATGGAAACGAGTTAAAGCGAGCACACGGAAGAAAAAAAGTCAGGCCAATGAGAATATTTCATTTGTCACGCTTTCATTGACTAAGATGAGACACCTCATCATCTTCAACCTCCAGCCTTCTCAAATGTTTAGAAAATCAACAAATTCGAAAATCATGAAATGCAAACCATAGAGGCTGAGACCTATCCCATTGGATTCGTCTCTTCATCTCCATTCCAACAATGTGATTTTTATGAATTTATTTAAACCGTGCTTCACGCATTTTGAAGAAAACCAGAAGAAAATCGAAAATGAATTTTGAAACTAAATTCTCAAATCAAGATGAAAATGCAATCTAGAAGAAGCATGAGCTTCAGGAGATCAAGGACTACATCTTAGCTATTTGTCTGAAGCAATTTGGTGCAGGAATCTACCAAAACGAAGTAAGGTGAAAAGCTTCTGAAACTGGACTTGGACGGAGAGATTCAGTGCATCTAAAGGCTTGCTTTCAATTGCTTTAGCTTCAGGGAAGATTAGAGAATGTATTTGAATCAAGAATTTGGATGGAAAAGTTCTAGAAATATTAAAACAAACTTGGAGAATTTGAGCTTTGAGAGTGAGTTTGACAGAGCTTGTTTGGCTATCAAAATCATAGAAAATAATGAGGAAATGAACCTATATTTATAGCAAACTCCAATGGAATGTTGAGAGATGTGAAATGATCAGCTATGGATTGAATTCGTGTGAACCCTTGAAGCATGAAAAGTGTTACTCGGTGCACCTCTAAAACTCACTCAATTCGTGTGTTTTAAGTGTTAAACAAACTCTGGACACTTGATAAACTTGATTAGGCACGAAATAAAATTTAAATTGGACTTTAATTGTAATTATAGTGATTTGAAAGTCTGACCAAAGTGAAAACTTCAGTCCCAAATAACAATTTTCAAACTCATGAGGCATCATGCACAAGAGGCTTTTTGGTCCCATTATTTTTGTAATGTGTAGACATCATAACAAAGATCATAATGTGTTGCAATTGTTTTTTTAATTAGAGTCGTCACTCTTAATTTTTATCCTAAAGGAAGGGAGTATAAAGGAATAACCCTAAAAGTCAGAGATTCTAGATTTGGACTCGGTTCTAGATGAAGGAATGGTGTTAAGCACCCCTCCTCTACCTTGTTCGCAAGGATACTAGGTTTAGAAGCCTATGTTTAGGAAATAAAGTTTTTATTATTAAAATGGAAAAGGGTTTGAATTTTAGTTAGGAGGACTCGCCACGATTTTGATCGTATGCATACGTATCCTCCTAGGAAGAATCAAAGTCTCATTTCGTAGTTCGTGGGATTGTTTGTGTTTTTTATGGATTTGCGAAATATATTTGAATTTCCCACATACGTAGTCTAAGAGTGTGAATAGTGGAGTTTGTTATACTAAGTGCGCAGTTAATTTAAATATATTTGAATTCCTTTTCGAAAATTAATTATTCGAATTTAATTTTATTTGCGAAAAAATATTTGGTGTTTGGTTGAATATATTTTATATGTAGAGCGATGGAGTCTGGTATAGTCTCCTTATCACGTGGCTAGATATTGGCCACGTGTCACTCGCGGACATAATAATTTGATGAATTGCGCGAGTTTTAATATTTTGATTTTGAATAATAAACCGGTAGACAACGTGTCGACCGATTTAATTACTCGGAGATAGACATCCTATTGTTTATAGAATGTTTGAATTAATTAAATTAAAGAAAAGCGTTTAGAAATACACACATGTTTATGATTAAAAATATGATTTTGAATTCTTATCATTTCTAGTTAATTATAAAATCAACCTAAAAGTTAATATAATTACAAATAAACAAGAGTAACTAATTAAGCTTATATCAAATAACAAAAGGGAAGTGTAACATTAGTTGGTTAGTAAAAGTTGGGGTGTGAATAACAGGGTCCTAAATCCAGATATTGGATTTAGGCCCAGCTGTGTGAGGGGTATTGTTTTAAACGTAGCGGCAAAAGCTGGGGGTGCAGGAAATAAAGGCTTGAGCCCAAATAGTTTGTTTGATCCAATCTGCAGGGGGGGCATGGAAAAAAATTGAGGGGAGGCCCAAGGTCCAAATGAATTTCTAAAACCCTAAAAAATTAACTCTAACTAAAGTTACAGTTTAGAAATAATAATTAAAAAATAACAATAGAAAAAAAACAACAAAAAAAAAAACAATTGAATGAATAGAGGGGTGTTTCCACCTCTCATCATGTTTGGAATGACATAGTTTTCGCTATTTTGACTTTTCCAATTTGTTCTAACCAATCACATATTGCCACTTTGTCTATTATAATTAAAAATAAAAATAAAAAAACAACACAATAGATGAATAAGCAAATGAAATCAACAAGCTATCAATTTTCTTCCCCTTTCATTCTTCTCTCCCTCATCTCTCGATGTCTTCTTTCTCTTCACTTAAGAAAACCAAAACAACAAATTCCATCTTTTCAACATAACTACGCGATCTCTTTACACAACAATCAATTTCACATTTTTTTGGAAAGAACCGAATAAAAACATAGCAGTCTACATGCAAAACATAAATAAAAAACAGAAAGAGGTAAAAGAATGAAACTTTCAGCAACGTCCATGGCATAACATCGACATATCTTACTGCAGGATCTTTCTCGGTCGGATGCGTGAAGGCTGGTCGTGCGCTAGCATCGAGGACGGTTGGAGATCTCAACACGCAAAGGGGCGGTTTCCGTCCAGAAATCGGTAGGGAGCGTGGTCGTCGGGAGTTGTGGCATTTCTCATGGGGAGGTCGTCGGTGTTGGTCTGTTGTATGGTGTCTTCCGCGGTGATTCTGATTTGTATTTATCACTTTATTTTATATTGAACTTTCAACAAAATACCTACAACATCTTAAGAAAATATCAATTTCAAGAATAACAAACAAATCTCCTTTTTTTGAGGTATTATTGTTGTTGTGAATTTCCTGCTAAAAAATGGTTGTTTCCTATTTACAAGTTTTTTGTTTTGAAAGTTTGTGTAATGTTATTGGTTTTAATGGAGAAAATTAGTAATGAAATATGAATGATGAGGTAAATTTTTAGAAGTTACAGGTTCAGTTTCATGATATCATTTGAAGGAAAGGTTTATTGTGAAAAGTTTATACAAGCTTAGAAACTGAGAAGTGTTAAAAAGGTCACACAACATATAATGTATTTTTTAATAAAATATGGTTTAGAAATATATACAATAATAAGACTAAAATTAAGATTGTGTCCAAATAATATAGAAATAAGTTAACACAGTATAAAAATAAAAGTGTCAAATAATGTGAGAATTTGTTGAATATGCACGGGTATGATACTGTGTAGAAATTATGTACAAATTATTAATAAATCGTATAATTAAGAAAGAAACCATACGATAATTATCGTCATATGGTTTAAACAAATAGTAATTAAAAATTAAAATTGAAAATTAGAGTTAGGCCTCCTATGTAATCATTGGCCAAAACAAAAATATCCCCAACAGTATTAAAAACAAAATTTTGAAAGAAGGAGAAATTTGCAACAAAAAAAAAGGAAGTGTGTGTGTGAATGAGTAAAATTGTGAGAGATTGTGGATGAATTGTGTATATTATGGATGATCTAGAAGTATGAAAAACATGTTCTATTTATAGATAAAAAACCATCCAAATTGGAAATAAAACAAAATTGACCAATCAAAAACAAAGTGTGACACAAATTGACATCAAATGGCCAATAAGAAACGATTCAAACTCGTGACCTTATGCTTGAAAGCTTCATTCTTTACTAATTGTGCTATGTTACTGATTTGTAAATAAATTCAATTTGAAAGTATATGAAAGGGGTGCAGATATTTGCTATTTTAAAAATAAAAATAATTTAGAATAAATTATTATATTTTTAAATTGGTTGGGAAGCGAATATTTATAAAAATCAAATGATATTATAAAAACAAAATTTAAAATATTTTTGACGGGACTTGATTGACATCTATAAAAAATCAAATGATATTATAAAAATAATGTTTAAAATATTTTTGACTGTAGAAATAAAAGTGCGGGAAAGTTTGGGGTATGACACAATGTTCCAATAAATGTTGCATTTGGATTCTTGAGTCAAAATTTATGGCATATGTTTACAGTGATTTCTGGTAAACAACCGCTAGTCCTCTAAACTATCGAATAAACTTACTGACTGTTATTCAATTCCTCTGGTAACTCGCAGGATCGACTAGATTGATCCTAGGACGTGTTGGTCATTAGGGTAACTCTCATGACCGAACAGGTATTCATGGTTGGTATTTAGAATGTTGTGTAGGTGTTTGACTTATTTCGATTTCTCTCTTAAAGACCTAAAGGTGTAATCAAAATATATGTGCGCGAAACTAAATTGCATGAATAAAAGTTAATTGTAAAGACATGTAAAAACTGCATAAAAGACAAGTAAATGACTTCGAAACGTAAAAAACACAGTTAATGTAAAAGATGCTCTGGAATGTAAAAGATTCGAATTATGAAGAAAGCGTTTAATGCAAGAAAACTGTAAAATTGCTTTAAGTGAAAAAGGTGCTCGAAGGATAAAAACTTGAAGATAAAGGTATAAAATGTATAACAGTTTCTGAAATGTAAAGTGCTTGAAATGGAAAGAAAGCATTTAAATGTAAGGCATCAGTGAAAAGATTTCGACTAAAAAGACTTTGGATGCAAAAACTTGTAAATGGTATTGACATAAAGATAAAGGAAAGTACTGGAAATGATAAAGGGTTTTCATTAAATCATAAACATGTGGTGCTATCATACGTACATTGCTCTTGCATTCGTTTCCCTAGCCATGTGGTAATTTGAATGTTTACTGAGTGTTTTTGTACAATAGATATGACACACGAAATCCTAATGCTAAGACTTCTATTTATACTACTTCGACCATAACGGTCTTGCTATAAGATTCTGCCACGTTCAGAACATGCAGAGCAATGCCTCTCTTTTTGCTTCCACGTGTCTTCGAATGCTCCAGCGCATATATTTCAAATTTCAAACATCCCGCTTGCATTTGAATTTCAAATGTTTTGGCACTTCTTCGCTTCGAACGCATTTCTTAGACACAGCCTTGTTGTCATTTCGAGACTTCTTTGGATATATTCTCATAATTGTCACTCGAAACTCCAAGCTCTGATATGCTTATTCGAAGCATTGCTTCTACTATTTCGAAACATGACGTTTTGTTTCATTTCGATCGAAATGTCCAATTTACTTTGCTTCTAATAATACTATCAAAATCTTCAGCCAACAAAATGCCCCTTTAAAATATGTATTTCGATTTCTTTGAGAAATACTTATTTTAAACATATACACAAGATTTTGGTGCGACCTTCGAATCATCGTAACATTTATTGCATTTGACTCCAGTCACGTCAATCATAACACTTTTTAGATTCCTTAACCGCCTGGAACCACTTCACAGTATGGTGCAGTTACAAAACAATGATTATCTTTAATCACGCCTATTACCAATGTTAACTTTACGCCACCTCTTCATCAAACCAACCCATGATTACCACGTATCACAACCTTACTCAGTGGATGCTTAAACTTCCATATTATAAAAACCCACCAACTTAGTATTTTTCTTTTCTTTCCATATTCTGAATCTTTTCTCCTTCTTTTCTCACCGAAAACCCTAAGCTTTCAACATTCTTCCAACAATGTCTTCTTCTACTTCATCCCAACTAAAAAAGGTTTCCAAAAAGAAAGGAAAGACCGCAGGAACTACCATGGAAAGCAAGGTTGTCACTCACCAAGGTCAATCTGTTCTTGTTCCCCAGATGATCTCAAAGGAGAAAGAAATGCTTTATACATCCCAGGTACTTATTCCTACCACCGCTGCTGGTAAGAGGTTAGCTTTAATGGGCCCTCTTACAGTTTTTGAAATTTTAAAAGACACCAGGAAAATTTTCCCAGTTTGCTATAATTTCAAATCCCTGTTTAATAAAATGGACGCCCCTAAGGCAATAGAATCTTCTGGCTCAAACACCGTGGAAAACCCAACTGTTCCTCCTAAGGACCCTTTTGTATTAGACTATGTAAAGAGTAACTTCAAACCGTTTCGATCTTGCCCCACCTCCGACACTGCTTATCAAAACTGGTTCAATAAGGTAGAAGCTAAGAAATCCCAGCAATGGGAAGAATTAGGTATCTACAACTTGATTAAGCCGTCGAAGCCAGGTTTTACTTACAGCCACCCATTGTTATTCGCGTCCCTATATTTCTGGGACAGTACTTATAACACTTTCCATCTCCCTGGTGGAATGATTACCCATACCTTCTTTGACATAACGGCCATCACTAGGCTATCACCAGTGGGAGAAACATATATCCCTGACAACGAAGAACATTCGAGTATAATCGACTTCGAAGTCAAACTAGCAAGCTTTTCAAAGTTTATCAGCCACTACCATGCTGAAGGAGACAGTGTGTCTGATGTAGAACACATTGCTTTCCTTACCTTATGGCTGTCAAAATATGTCTTTTGCAGCAGATCCCTACAGGTAGCCAGTAGGTTTATTCCTCTAGCCAGAGATTTGCACGAGAATCGAAGAGTGTGCTTGAGCGAATTGCTACTAGTTGATCTTTATGAGAGCCTAAGGTCAGCTGTTTCGAGCCTAAAATCTCACACCTCCAAGAATATCCTGTTAGCTGGCCCTTTTTGGTTACTTCAGCTATGGCTAAATGCCATGTTCGAACCTTCCTTGTCAACTGCCAACACCATTGCTGAACAAGACCCTGAAATAACGGATAGAATAATCGAAGGCACTAGGCTGCGAAGACTAACTCCAAATGATGATAAGGATGACTTCAAAGTCCTATTCTCAAAGTACATCATGATATTCTCCAAGAGGCATAAGTTCGAAGAGACCATGGCGCCTTTTGCTTCAAGGGCTCATGGACCTTCATGGTTCACCATGGCTCTCTCAGAAGCTGTCAAGAGCAAAGAGATTCAAGATGTATGGAGAGCCTTTTTGCTACCCAGACTAATCTCTTCAAGAATAACTCCTGCCAAGAATCAGATTTTCCTTTTCGCTTACCAGCCAAATTTTGTTTCGAGACAGTTTGGCTTATGCCAACTAATTCCTGAACCCTTATTTCAAACTGAGAGTGCCATTACCTCTGGGCGAACCTTCAAGGCACGGGAAGCCAAATTACAGCAAGAACAATACCAAGGCTTTGCCCAGTTTGAGCTAATAACTTTCGAACCTACCCACCTCACAGCAAAGGGGTTTCTGGAATGGTGGACAAAGTTTTATCAGACTTATATGTTCGATACTCTTACAATTCAGCAGGAACTAACTGATGCCTTCGATGTGCAGGTACCATCCAAGAAAGGTATGTTCACTCATGCCAAAGAGATTAAAGCTTTTCAAAATTATTTCGAAACTACTTATGATCCCACACACTTGGAATCCACTGTGCATCAAGCGGCTGAGACCTTGAAGGAAAAATTCAAACAAAAAGTTTCTAAGTTAAAACTTCCTTCAGGGTTGTCACCTGAGGATATGTATAGGTTGGCATTCGAAATGCATCCACCTAAATTTCCTAGATTACCTACCTCAGAACTGGCTCTGGCTTGGTTTCCTCCATACCCTTGGTGGTTCACTTGCAAAGAAATGTTCAAACATCTTCAAAAGAAACCAAAGCCATCTGAGACTGACATGGGCTCGACATTGGCTCCACGATTTCCCAAGACATCTTCGCTATGACCTTTCTGCCATGTCGATTAAATCTGATCAAGGCACAGGTGCGAATGCTTGGGAAAATCCCAAACGTTTTTCATTTTCCATATCTTTAACTTTTGCCTTAATTGTTTCGATTTTCAGCCATCAGGATAAAGACAGCTGCTTCAAAGTCGAAAGAAGGGAGCGCCTCTCAAGCCTCTATCGAAACCACTGACAATGTAACTCCATCCGAAACAACAACCATTGCTGCAACAACAACAACAACAATACCAACAACAACCAATGTTCCAACTCCACAGGTAATTATTTAGCCTTGATGTTTCGAATTCACTAATGTTTCATGATTTGCATCTAACTCTTTGTTTAAATCTTTTCAGACCAACAAACTTCCGCCTACCACTCCAAAGAAGCGAAAATCAAACACCACTGGGGAAGACCCCAAGGCTGGAGGAAACTTACCAACTGCTTCGAAGAAGAAGCAGAAGAAGGATATTTTGAAAAGTATCGTACCAACTAGTGTCTCTGGACTTGATTCCAGGGATGCTGCTCCCTCACCCAAATCCAAAATTCCATCTTCGACCTCCAATGTAATGTTGGAACACATAGCTAGCAACCTCTCTTACGAGAGTCCACAGGTAAATTGAACTTCAAATCTTTTTGAAAATAATAATTTCTCATTACCTTGGTGCATGCTTTTAATATTCTTTCGCTCCTTGCAGAATATCTTAAATCCAGCTTCCACTACTTCGACCTCACCATCAAAAGCTGCTGCTCCACTCAACTCCTCTCCTCAAGGAGACTCCAGCAACCTTGTACAAAATAAAGGTTCCTCCAATATGGCAGTTCTAGCTGGGGCTTCTGAGCAGCAGGATGATCAGAGTACTTCCCCTCCTCTAAAAGAGACAAATGAAACACCAATTCATGAATCTGCAGAGGCTTTGCAAAGAACTTCTCTTCAAAAGTCCCCTCTTGAAACCCTTCAAGAGGACCCAAAGGATACTCATGCTGAAGGAGAGAAAGCTGATTCTGGCCAAAGAAACGAAGAATCTGCAGAAGAAGGGTCTGAGGAGGAGGATGCCAACGATGGTTCGACTGCTGGGACAGAGTCCAATGCAAATAGCAGCGAAAGAGAAGACATCGAAGTGGTGGACTTGGATGACGATGAAGAAGATAATGAGCACGAAATGAATGAAGGGGATGGTGACACAACCAACAAACCCATGGAAGTCGAAATGGACGTGACTCCCCTACGTGTGGAACTCCCTCAACCGTCTTTGTCTCGAATGACTGATGAGGAGCTTGCACTCCTGAGACGAAATGACCCTATTGGGTACATGAAGGCGAAGCTGGCTCAAAGGGACATTCCACTTGCTAGGGCTGGCACAAGTTCGACTAGCTATCCTCTTCCCACAGATGAAAGAATTGTACTTCTTAACAGGATCAGGAAAACAATTCTTAATGTGGATATATTCGAAGTGCTCAAACAAGATAGCACTGCTTGCTACACTATGAAGGAGTTGCTTACAAAAGTCAACCTTGCTACCTGCTCCTTGCCAGTTAGTACTATCTTGTTCGATCTTCAATCTTTGCTGGACAACGTAACTGGTTACCTTCTCCAAGATGAATCTGCTGCCAGAAAGGTTCAAGAGAAACGGACTGCAATGGATGCTGCTTATGAACAAGCTTCGAAACTCTCTCAAGAAGCTGAGGATCAAGCTATGCACCTAAAGCAAGCAAAAACTGATTATGAGGCTCGAGCTGAGTCCATCCTTCTCCGGGAAAGGCAGATTCAGGAGCTTCAACAGAAGGTTAAAGAGGCTAAAGAACAACAGATAGCCTTCGAAACCAATACTGCTGGTAACCAATTCGAAGAGCTTCTCAACCAGGGGCTTGCAGAAATGAAAACTGCAGAACAACTCAAGGGAGAAGTGGCAACCTTGGAAGGAGCTAGACGTTTTGCTCAACAGAGACTTGAATCTTTTCGAAGTACCTTCAATAGACTGAAGAATAATTCTTATTTCTAAATTTCAGTGTTCATTTGATTACAATTTGGTTTTTTATATGTAATATTCGAACAACGCCATTTTGGCATCTCATCTTGCCATTTTGGCATTTTTATAATATTTTGGTTACGTTGTTACTATTCGAATCTCCTGCAGGCGTGGCTTATATTTCTTTAAATATTTCCCATTAACCTTTAGGATACGCTTATCATCCATCAGCTCTTCGATTTCATATGCATTGTTCGAGAATACCTTTAGTATTCGAAAAGGGCCTTCCCAATGAGGTGACCATTTTCCTAATGTTTTATTTTTCTTGTCCATGGGCAATATGACTTTCCAGACTAAATCATTAATAATGAATGCTTTTCTTTTCACCCTTTTGTTATATGTCCTGGCCACTCTTTCTTTTTGTCTCATCAAGATTTCCAATGCATGTAATCTAACTTCGTCCAACTCAACTAATTCATTCATCATCATCTCCCAATATAATGCAGCTGGGATTTCGTTTTGTCTTTGAATTCGAACTGATTGTAGATGAATTTCTACTGGCAACACTGCATCATGACCAAATGTGAGTTAGAAAGGCGTAGTGTTAGTAGCTTCCTTAGGAGATGTTCTACAGGCCCATAGTATTTGGTCCAAAGTTTTGTGCCAGTTCCTTGACTTTTTACCAATATGTTTCTTGATTAACCCTATTATTACTTTATTGGCTGCTTCGACTTGACCATTTGCTTGAGCATAATATGGCGTTGATGTTAATAATCTAAACCCCATTTCTTGGGCAAATTCTTGCATCTTTCTACCAGTAAACACAGAGCCTTGATCTGTGGTTATGCTCTTTGGCAATCCGAACCTATAAATAATGTGCTTTTGTATAAACTCAATAATAGCCTCTTGATCAGCAACTATTAATGGTATAGCTTCGATCCACTTGGTAAAATAATCTATTCCTACCAAGATATATTTCTGTCCTTTAGACGAAGCAGGATTTATTTCTCCTATCAAATCCAATGCTCATCCTCTAAATGGCCATGGTTTGATGATTGAATGCAACTCACTTGCAGGGGCATGTTGAATCCTTGCATGTTTCTGACATTCCTCACATCCTTTAGCAAAGTCTATACAATCTTTGAGCATGCTAGGCCAATACATGCCATATCGAAACAACAACCATTTTATTTTATGACCTGCTTGATGTGCCCCACATGCCCCATTGTGGACTTCTGACAATGCTAAGTATGCCTCACTTTCTCCTAGGCATTTCAATAATATTCCCTCTTGGGTCTTTTTGAACAATTCGTTCCCCATGAGGAGATATGATAATGCTCTGTATTTTGTCTTTCTATCCACATTCAGAGTTGGGTTTGCTAAGTAACTCACCAGTGGACTTCACCAATCTGCATATGATAAAGTGTTTATGGCTAATATTTCGAATCCCTGTTTCTCAGCATATCCCAATTTCATACTTTCTAGATCTGATGGTGTGAATCTAGTAGCCATAACTCTACCCTTTAATTCAACTAAATCCTCAAAGTTCCTGACAGAAACTTTATAACCCGAAGCCAACTGTGCTAAGTCATTTGCTTCTTGGTTCTCTATTCTTGGTATGTGTTGAATATCCATGTATTCAAATTTCCTGAGTAGCCTGTTGACTATGACGAAGTATATCATCAAGTTTTCCTTTATGCATTTATACTCCTTTGTAATTTGTTTGACCACTAATTCTGAGTCTCCTTTAATTTCGACTCTAGTTGCCCCCAATTCCAACAAAGCTTCAAGTTCAACAATGAGCGCTTCATACTCAGCTTCGTTGTTCGAGCAACGAGGACCATCTAATTTATACTTGAATTTTGTTGGAATTCCTTCAGGAGAAATTAGAAGGACTCCAACACCACTTCCATTCCTGTGGGTTGAACCATCAAAGTATAATTTCCATGGTTGCATTTCAACGTAACTCATGACAGTCTGCTCAACCAATGAATGGTCCACAATGAAGTCAGAAATCACTTGGCCTTTCACAGCTTTTAAAGGCATGAAAGTCAAAGAATATTCTGTTAAGGCTAAAGCCCATTTACCAACTCTGCTATGCATTATTGGTTTTGAAAGCATGTGTTTAATGACATCGAAATGAGATGAAACATAAACATCAACAGGCTTTATATAATACTTGAGTTTCATACAAGAGAAATACAAACAGAGACATAGCTTTTCTAAATTGCTATATCTGGTCTCTGCATCATTTAGTACTCTACTTAAATAGTATATGGCTCTTTCGATACCATTACTATCTTCTTGTGCTAACATACTACCTATACTAACTTCAGAGGCAAATATGTACAATCTCATGGGCTTCCCCCATGACGGTGGAGACAAGATAGGAGGCTGAGAGATGTATCTTTTTATCCTGTCAAATGCCTCCTGATGGGCTTCGTTCCATTCGAAGGCTTGGCCTTGCTTTAGACGAAGCAATGGAGAGAAAGATTGGGTTCTTCCACTCAGATTCGAAATGAATCTTCTGAGGAAGTTAATCTTCCCTAGCAGAGATTGCAGCTCCCTTTTTGACGTAGGTGCTTTCGTCTCCATTATGGCTTTGGTTTTGTTCTGGTTGATCTCAATCCCTTTCTTGTGAACAACAAAACCAAGGAAATCTCCAGCCTGCACAAAAAATGCACATTTAAGGGGATTCATCTTTAAGCCATGTTTTCTCATTCGTTCGAATGATTGGCTCAAGTGATGCAAATGTGTTTCTGTAGATATAGATTTGATGACTATATCATCAATGTACACCTGCATAAAGGTTTCAATGAAATCATGAAAAATCGAATTCATTGCCCTTTGATAAGTTGCCCCAGCGTTCTTTAAACCAAAAGGCATCACCACCCCTTCGTAGGTGCCTAAGGCTCTTGGGCAACGAAATGCTGTCTTGGCAACATCTTCTTCAGCAATAAAAATCTGATTATACCCAGAGTATCCATCTAACATACTCAAGTATTCGAACCCTGCAGCAGAATCTACTAGCATTTCTGCCACAGGCATAGAGTACTCATCCTTAGGGGTTGCAGTGTTTAAATCCCTAAAATCTATGCAAATTCTTAAAGAACCATTTTTCTTAATAACAGGTACTATATTTGCTAACCATTCGACGTATCTTGTGGTTCTGATGAATTTGCAACGCAGCAACCTTTCGATCTCAGCTTTAATCTTTGTGAGAACCGCTGGTGCGAATCTTCTGGGAGTTTGTTTGATGGGTTTCTTGCCATCTTTGATTGGCAGTCTGTGTTCGACTAACTCCCTCTTTAAACCAGGCATTTCGTCATAATCCCATGCGAAGCAATCTTTATTTTTCTTGAGGACTTCGATTACTTCCTGCTTGAGGCCTGGGCTAAGTTTTGCACTTATGTAGGTTATTCTTTTCGTGTTTTCATCCCCTAAGTTGACTTCTTCGAGTGGATCCTGTGCCAACATTTTGGCACCTGAGTCTATGGGGTCCCTTTCGAAGCCTAAGGGTTCTTTATCGTAGATGGCATCCAACCTTTGATCCATCTCAAGTTCTTTGAAGGGTGAGCATTTCGAGCCATCCCCACTTACTTCGTTCATCTTTATAGCTAATTTATTTATTTCAGCCTCTAAGGCCGCCTTTGATTCGTTCTCAGCCATATAGGCCGAAATCCTTTCAAAAAAGGTGGACTCAGTCATGGATAAGGTTGTCGAAGTCCCAGCCTGCTG